CATTGCACACCTGATAGACTCCAGTAGAGTACCAATGTAACGTATATGCGTTGGGACATCAAAAAAAATTCATCTGACTGGCTTCATTGGGATCCTGGCCTTAGAGTGGTGATCTGAGCCGAGCCGGCAATCTCCCTGAGGTACGCCTGTCCTGTCTAACTCAGAGAACTTTAGAGCATCCCAGCACGAACACACAGGTCCCCGTCAACGCAGGGGCGGGCCCCGTGTGCTTCACACACCTGCTGCACGTGCCCAAGCATCTTATCAACTCCACTGAGCTAAAAATGGATGCGCCCTTCTTCCTAACTGGGCTCCTGAAGAGGGAAGGGGAACGTGGCCTCTTCTGTAACTGCTTGAATGTACTAAGAGGGCTGCTATTTCAACAACCCCTACAGTGACTATTACAAAGCAAAGAGCCGGCCCTCAGCAACGGTGTGTGGGCATCTGAGTGTAATGAAGGCAGAACGTGCCCAAGCAGGCAACAGACCTATGGACCAGCAAGAACAACGGAGAGCGGAGCTGGGAGAAGCCCACCCAGGGTGCCCCCAAGCCTGTGTACTGCCCACAGGAAGTGGTTCGTGCCCAAGGGAAGTCAGCACCTGCCAGGCCTCTGGGGTGGCCTTGGGTGAGGAGGGAGAAGCCCGGCCACGGCACTGGCCACACACACATTCACACTCACGCATGCACACAGCACACTGGCTGTGCTCCCCCAACATCAATCCGCACCCCTCCTGTCGCTTCTACTCCCCAGCTAGGCAGGAGAGGCCTCCCTGCTCCAAACGGTAGGCATGACCTATAGCTTCCTACCCCCTCTCCTTTACTAGGCCCTCCAGGAATGTTTATTCAGTTCATCCGACAGACCTGCGGAGCCCTACTATGTGCTGGTACTGGGGAAGGTACCTGGAAGGAAACAGAGGAAGAGGAGAAAAGAGAAACAACGCAGGAGGGAGGGAGAGAGGCACGCAGGCGGGGAGGGAAGAAGGGCAAGCAGCTGTGTGGCCACAGTACTGTCTTCACGGAAGAGTGTGTGTCCGGAGTGCGTGTGTGTTGTGTGTGTGTGCGCGCATGCTGGCCTTGTATGTGAATTCTTACTGTAGATGAAGCGCACCCCAACCTCAACCCCAGGGCAAGAGCATGGCCACACCGAGTAAAGCATTCTCTGACCATCCCAACTTCCAGTCTGGACCAACACCCTTGAACCTGCAGCAGAAGCACCGTGGGCAGGGCTGTGGGCATCACGGCTTTATGTGGGCGGGAAGGCTAGGGGGAGCCTGCCTGAGTGCCACGGCCCCGGAAGAGCATTCACTGGCTGTGTGACCTTAATCAAGTGACCCCACGTGTTTAGGCACGCATTTAGTCGTTCAGAAGATAGAGTGCTGAAAAATACAGCCTACCTTATGCAGCAACCCTAAGAGCGAAATAAGAGCGAACTAAGATCACGCGAGCGCAGAGCTTAAAGTAGCAGCTGGAAGGGAGTCCGCACTCGGCGCACCTTGGCTGTTGTGTTTCTGAGGCCGGAGGAAAGAAAGCGGGGAGCCGCACGATCGGGGGCCCAGCCTTGGGCTTCGACTCTTGGCCAGGCAATAATTCACATGTGGGAATCTGAGGAGGCCCTTCTAGCCCCAAGGTTGGAATGCTCTTGGTTTCCTTTCCTGCTCCCTCTGTTCCCCCTCCCCTCCCCCCTGTGCAGGGCCCGATACCCCACCCAGGCTCCTGGCCTCCTAGGAGGGACAGGCCTCTCTGTCACCTCCCACCCATCTCCCATAAAGCCACCTCACCCTCCCTCCACTGTGGCCACATTTCCCCAACTGACCCAGCCTGGTGAGAACCCCAGCGCTCAGCCCCCCAAAACCTGCATTGTCCCAGCGTCCCCGCTCGTTCCCTCCCCAACCAACATGGACAGCAGGGTAGGGGAGGCTGCGGGACGAATGGATGCTGGGCAGGCGTCTCTGTGCACTTCCAGCCATAAGCGAGCTCCCCGGCTCTCACCCCTGGCTCTGCACCCAGCCTGCCTGATCGAGGCCCCGGGCTGTTCCCCTGTGGAGGGGTCTTACCGCTCTCATTTTCCTTCCAACCCTAGCCACAAGATACTTCCTGAGCACCAACTCCACGCTAGTCAGGCCCCGCCCTCCAGGGGCAGCAGTGGGGCTGGGTGTTGCCCACACGGGTACTTCTCAGATGCCCTAGAGAGAGGCCTGGCTACAACAAGGACGGCTGGGCTCGAGCCCCACAAGCTCTGACTGGCATTTCTTAACCTTTCCAGGAGCCACCGGTGTTCTCAAAAGAACCACGGGTCCCCTCCAAACCGTAATTCAAGGCAGACCGAAAGCAGCAAGGGCTTTGACCGGAGAGGAGCGGTGAGAATCAGGGAGAGGGCCCACCAGGCAGAGGAAGGAGCATAAACAAAGGGCTGGAGGTTCCAGGAAGTACCACAGTGGAAGGTGCGTGAAGGCGTGGCCGGGAAGGAGGCTGGAAGGGCACGTGGGGCCCAGGGCCAGCGGGTAGCCACACCCCTTCCCTCTGGCTCACCAGACAGTTCCTTAGTGCCAGGTGCTCCTGGCAACTCGGCCAGGCTCCTTGGGCGGTAGCTCAAGCCCATCTTCCCCCTCCGCGGTGACATGGCACCGCAGCCCCAGGCCTGGCTTTCTCCAGCTGCCGTGGGAGACTGGCAGTGTCTCTACCCGCCCTCCGCCGAGGCTCCCTGGGCGGCTCCCAGGGCAGCTCCCCTGAGCTGCGGAAGCCAGCCCAGAGGGACTGGAGAGGTGGGCCAGGTGAGCCAGTGTGCGCCCGGTGGGCGTGGGCAGCTGGGGAGGAGCCCCGCTCTATCAGCACCAGGATCTGGGGCCGGGTATGTGTTTGTTGCCACATGAGCCAGAACAGTTACTATGGGTAGATAATAATAGCAATCGTAATCCCTCATAATTGGACCAGACTTCGCTGTTTGCAGGGCATTTCCATGCCCATGACCTCATCTGACTTCCCCAACCACCCTGTAAAACAGACACAGCTAGAGTTACTATCCCCACTTTACAGCTGAGCAAACGCGAGCCCAGATGGCCTGAAGTCACATCTCCAGGAAGTGGCAGACTCAGGCCTGGGACCTGGGGCTTCTGACTCTGTCCAATGCTCTTTCTCGATCTTGAACTGTCAGAACAGAGAGCCTGCTCTGCCGCTCTCCGTGCGAGGGAGCCAGGGGCTCTGGTATCTAGGGCAGCACTGGTAACGAGAGAAGCTTGGCCTGACTGTCCCCACCTTGCCCATCTGCGGGGGTGGGGGGGCAGCTGATCACCAACTGCAAGTGTACGGACACAGAGCTCTGTCAGCACGAGTCCAGGCATCAGACCGGGTAGGGAGCTCAGGGTCACCTAATCCAATAGAGGAGCAAAACAGACCCGACCAGGGGAAGGGAATTCTGCAGAGCCGCAGGTGGCCCCGACTCTGTGTGGATCGACTGCTGCCCGAGACAGGAGTAGCTCGGAAGGCCCAGAGAATAAACTGGACTGCCTGTTCTTTTTCTGTGGGGTCAGGAAGAAGGGGACCCACAGCCCCTAGGAGCCTGGCTCAGCGGACCACGGCAAGCCCTTTCTCCGCCACCTGCTGGGTATACACCCCCGACTAGGGCATCCCGCATGATTCCAGGCTACAGAGGCAGGTGCCAGGGCTTCGTGCGCACACCTGCATGTCTCCACACAAGGACTGATCCAGTGGGAAAGGTTCTGATCCAGCAGGCTCTCATCTGGACCCACCACTGGGTAGCTGGGCTCAGCTTCCTCATCTGTAAACGAGGGCCATCTGTCCTTGCCCCACTTATTTCAAGGGTTGTTCCTGAGAGCAAACTGGCTGGAAACCACTCAGAAAACAGAAACAAGCTGTAAGGCTGAGGGAGCCCAGGAAGGAGCTGAGCACGCGTGGGGGCACATCAGGGAGCATAAGCAGGGGGCGGGTCTCAGAGCTGTCCCCGATGGTGGGCAAGCAGATGGGATGCTCCTTGCAGTGTCCAGGGGGCCCATATCTGGTGCCAGGTGTCCACTCTGGTTCCAGAAGGACAAACTATACCCCCCACCTAGCATCGCCACCCCTCCCTCCTGCTCAGGAAAAGGGGAACAGGCAGAGGGAACTGTGGGGACCAGGGCACAGCAGACAGGACATCCCAGAAAGGCCTATGGCTAGCACAGCTTCCCCAGAAAGGTGGCGGGGTTTACCATCTCACTGACAGAGAGTGAAAACAGAGTCTAACTGTTGGGGTTCAGGGCAGCTTTGCCTATAGATGGACGCAGCTTGGTGAGGTCCCAAGGCAGCCTGTCGCGGCCAAGCAGGGATCTCTACGGGGCTGCTGGGATCTCCTTTGATTCAGGCCCGTCCTGGAGTTCAACAGAGGGTGATGAGCTCACCCCGCAGGGGGCTCCGAGAACAAGGACGTCATTGGCTCCATGGTCAGAAGTGACACTCAGAGCCCAGGGTGGGGGTGAGGGGCAGGAAATCACCATCTCCAGGATGACTGGTGTCACCGTGTGCCTGGCGCTCTGAGAGGGGGAGCCCTCACGTGGCCTCCTAGCTACAGAGCCTCCCCAAACTTGCCTTTGGCCTCGCAGAAGCAGAGGCAGCTAAGACAGGTCAAGGACCCCCTGAGGATACAGAGCTGGTAGATGCGAATCCAGAAAGGAAGCTGGGTTTGGGGACACTTTGCCAGGCTGTCCCCCCACACTGCATACAGACCCGGGGCTTGAACCTCTGCTCAGACACCAGGGGAGTTAGAAAGCCTGGATCCCAGAGCGACTGCTTCAAATTCCTGCTGTACCCCCAGGACCGAACGTCTACAACCCATGGCCCAAACAGGGACACAGCCCTCCCCATGGCCCAGTGTGGAGACTGAGCTGCACGGTCCAGCGCTCAGCATGCCAGGGCTGTCACCAGGGCTGTCATTACCTGGGGAGGGCCCCTCCCCCTCCCCCCTCCCCTCCCCCCTCCCCTCCCACGGCTGCGGCCAGAGGGTCCCTCACCTTGCGGTCCTCCTCCCGCTCCGGAGCGGAGCTGCTGGTGTCCCCAGGGCCGCTGGAGGGCATGGCGGGCAGCTGGGCGGTGGGAGGCAGGCTGGGGCTGCGCGGGGCTGGGGGGCTGCTGGGCTTTGGGGAAGGAATTATCGTGGTCTTTGTCAGCAAGAGTTAGAACTTAGACATAGATCCCGGTGAAACTCTGCCTCCGGCTGTGGGGTGTGGGCTTCCAGTAGCTCCACCTGTGGGGGGAGACAAGAGGGGTTAGCAGGGCAGGGCACCCCCAACCCCAACCCGGGGCCCCACCTGACACCCACCCACCCCCAGTCAGCCCCACGCCGCCCCATGAGGCCTGTTCCTCCGAACTCACTCCTCTTCCCAGGCTCACCGGCAGCTCGGGCCAGCCTAGCCCGCCAGAGAGCGGGGGAAACTGAGGCCGACTCAGCTGGCAGGGTCCTGCCTGGCTTCCCTCAGGGCCTCCTCCTGCCTCCAAGGCACCAGCAGTCTCCCCGGGCCTCCGCGTTGCTGTGGTACAGTGGGCGCCAGTTCTGGGCCTTCCAGCGGCCTCCTGCCTCCTCCCTTCTCTTCATTCACGTCTGTTCTCTCCTTTGAAAGCTTCCCGCACCCTCCCTCCCACCCAGCCACCCCCTGGGAAATCCCAGAGGTCCCCAGCCTTGCTACATTTTCCTTCTAATCTGTCCTCCCCTCACGCCCCCACCCCCACACGGCTCCCACCACGTGGAGGAAGTGAGCAGCAGTCACAGGATGTAGTGAAATGAATGTCACCTCACTTCAGAACCAGCGTCTGGGCCCAGAGAAAGCTCAGGTTGAACTCTGGCTGTGGCCAGGCTGAAGGCCTAGGTCTGCAGTGCTGCTGAGAGGCCGTCTTGGTGGGGAGAGGCCACAGCCCAGGCCACGCTACTCTCCCCCCCACCCCACAAATCGGCCCCATTTGCCTCGGGAAACTGGGGGGCTCGAGGGGGCCCTCCACACCCACACAGCTTAATTTTAGGGGCTTTTCATCTTCCCTGCTTCAGGTGTGGGCCTCAAGCCAGTAAAATAACAAAGCCCCTGCCGCAGGCCTCAGCTAGGGATGGGGGTGTTGCGGATTCAACCCCCCCTGCTCACAGACACTGAGTTCTCTGGCTCCCCACCCCCCAGGAGGAAACTCGGGCCAAGCCCCTGCCTCCAGTGCACCCGCCTGCAGGGAGGGGATTGGCAGGAGAAGGAAAGTGGGAGGCAGCTGGATCTGGGCCCACCCACACCCTTCCCCTTCCAGTTCCCGTTCTGCTTCCCCGGCTTCCCCTCCCTCTTGGGCTTCTTCTCCCATCCCCCTCCAGCCAAGGCTCCCTGGAAAACCAGGCACTGGAGAAAGCACAGGCTTGGGTCTCCCAGGGGCGCAGCCCCTTCCCCAGGGAGGCACTTCCCTGGGAGGTGGGCTCTGCCTCCGGTGTGGAGGGGTAGGCTAGAGCTGGGAGGAGCCTCCTTAGGGCCTGGACAGGAGGAGATTTAAGTTAAAACCTCACCAGGCTGAAGGTGCCCCAAGCCCCACAGGTGAGCCCTAAGGAAGCTCCAGGTGCAACTCGAGCTTCTCAGCCCAGCACGGCACTGGGCTCCGTGCACGCCCGCTGCCATGCGTGTCTCTCCAAAGAGAGTGTTGCTTTCTGCGTCAGAGGCGGTGCTAAACCTGCCTGCCCTCCTTTGGAAAGCTGGTAGTACTCTTACTCTCCCTCATTTACAGTTTACAGTGGAACCTCAGGCTCAGAAAGATGAGGATCTGTCTCTACTCCAGAGGTCAAGCACAGGCTTGAATCCAGATCTCTCTCACTAAAGCTCTGAGGCCGATCTCTGGGAAGCTTCGTCCCCCAACTTACACCAGCACCCAGAAACAGCTCTCAACAGTCCATGGGAGAACTGGTCCAACCCAGAACTCCATGAGGCTTCCCTCCATTATTGGCCGGAGACTCCCCTTCAAACCCACACACCGTTTGTTAGCACAAACAAGTCCAATGACCCCCTCACCCCCCACATCAAAACCTTCAAAAGGAGGTGGAAGCTAAGAGAGGCAGAGTCTGGTTGGAGAGAATACTGAACCTGGTGTCAGCAGATGTGGGTTCTAGTCCTGCCTCAGGCTTCCCGCCCTCAGCTTCCTCATCCATGAAATGGGCGAGTTGGATGACATGATCTACAAGGCGTCCTCTAGCCCTGCCCTGCCAAGCTGTTGGAGGCGCCGAGGGCAAAGGGGAGAAGCAGACAAGGCTGGGACACCCTCAGGAGTCCCAGAGCCCCAACATGGAGTCCATGAAGACCAAGAAGGCACAAAGTAGAGGCAGATAACCTTCTGCCAGCTGTTTGTCTCAGCACTGCCCTGTGGCCTAGAAATATCCAGGGAACTTCTGTGAGGGGAAGAAAAAAAAAAAAAAAACTTTCAGAGAACCTCTGATTGCCAGTGAGAAGAGGAAGGAAGTAGGAGGGAAAAGCAGAACATCACAAGGCATTGACCCTGAGGGCAGACACCCCGGAAAGGAAGGGAAATGCTCTTTCCCCCTCCCCTTCCTCCATATATCCCCCTGATAGTTGAGCGGTGTGTGCTCACCTCACAGCAAACTCAGCTGACCCGGGTCAGTCTGTAGGTTCCTCAGAAAGTGTTCTCAGAGTCACCCCGCATCACTGAAAACCATCCAGCATATGGCCAGGCGGGCCATGCGCTGCACAACGCCAGGGGGCCCACCGTGGTGGCCATGGTCCAGGACTTGACACAGCGCTTCCCAACTGGCCTTAGAAGCTTCCTTCTCTCAAGCAGCCCTACTGCTGGGAGAGACCTGCCCCAAAGCCCATGGTCCCAACACAGCAGCCTGCGTCCACCGTGATGGTCCTTTGCCAAGCATCGCTCTGCTGTTCCTGGCACTGAGGCACCCTTCTCACCCACACCAAGGGCTGTACCACAAGAACCACCACCAAAGCAAAACCCACGCCAAGAACCCTATCACCATGACAGGTAGCTTTTATTTCCTCCTTTATACTTCTAATGGCCACGGGGGGCATAAATAATGTTTCTGACAATAACTTTCACCAACGTTTAAGGAATCCCATCACAAAAAAGTCTTGGTATCACACCTGACACTGTCACCATTATTACTACTCCAATTGCAAAACTGTTGTGGAAAAAGGACTGGGATTTTGAATATGCACACCCAGCTTCACTACCTTCTAAATCCAACTTGGTAGAAAGCTTTTTAAGAGACGTACAGTCACATGAGTGGGCTGAACAAAGAGGAGACACCACCAACGAAATTCTGGGGTCTGGAAAGCAGACTTGTGATGGCCAGATTTCAGAGAGAACTGCTTGCAAATTAAAATCAAATCAAAACAAACCTCATTTGTAACAAGAATCCTTAAAAGATGGAGGCAATAGCACCGGGCTATCTCCCAGGCCAGGGGTGGAGAGGACCCATGTGTGAAAATAAAGCAGACTGAATGAAAGAAGGAAAAGCCCTAGACCCCCTCCCCCAGAAGTCTGACGGTTGACCCTCCGGGGAGCACAGAACCCGGGGTCTTTGCACAGAGCTGATGGGAGCAGTGGAGAGCCACAGTAATATATCAAAATCAAGGAGATGAAGGTTATTTTAAATACTGGTGTTGAGTGCCCCCAAGCTCTTCCCCCACTGGGCTCCTCGAACCCTGGTAGCCAGACCCTTACCTTCTTCCCTTCTGGAGAATCTTGCCAGTCCGAGAGGAAAAGCCTACAGATACAGGTGCTGCACCCAGAGCCCAAATGGTGTCCAAATGGCTTGTGTGGGCCAACCAGTGTGGTCTGCCAGGGAACAAGTCCACCATCATGCACCAGAGCTCCCAGTCCCCTCTTCTTAATCCTGTACAGAACAAGCAGGGACCAGCAGACATCTGAGGGAGGTCTCTGGCTTGGACAATAGAGACGAGAACAAATAAACCAAACCAAAACACAACTTGGGAAAGACACACTTCGTGCATAGAGAAGATACTACATTCACGAAGCAAGGACAGGTTCCTGTTTAAAACGAGAACAAAAAAGAGCTTAGAAATACCAACCATGCTAGTAAAGATGCAAAACTCAACACAAAGGGCACCAGAAAAAGAATGAAAATTGGAGAGAATGGAAAAGAGAGAGAACTGGTCCAGAAGTTTCCATATGTAAAAAGCAGGAGTCGCAAAAACAACAACAAACAAAACGGGAGAACGTTACTGATGAAAGAGTGCAAGAGAATTTTCCAGAAGTGAAAGACACAAGTGGCCCAGTTGAGAAGGCCCACTGCATGTCCGCACAAGGGAGGAAAGCAGACCCACAACAAGGCACACCACTGTGAAATTTCAGAACACTGGTGCAAAGAGCAGATCCTACGGACCTGCACAGAGGGAGAAAAGGGTGACATACTGAGGTTCAGGAATCAGAATGGCTTCAGACTGCTCAACATTAATGTGAAAAGCAAGAAGACAAAGGACCCGGTTGCCTGGGTGGCTCAGTGGGCTAAAGCCTCTGCCTTGGGCTCAGGTCATGATATCAGGGTCCTGGGATCCAGCCCCGCATCGGGCTCCCTGCTGAGCAGGGAGCCTGCTTCCTCCTCTCTCTCTGCCTGCCTCTCTGCCTACCTGTGATCTCTGTCTGTCAAATAAATAAGTAAAAATCTTTAACAAAAAGAAGAAGAAGAAGAAGAAGAAGAAGACGACAAAGGACCAATACCTTCGGAATTCTTAAAATAATTCTCCCATTAGAATTCTTTACGCAGCCTAATCATTTAGGTGCGATAGTAGATTGAAGTTATTTTCAGACACTCCTTTCTCTGGAACCGCGAGCAGATGTCCTCTAAGACACCCGAGACAAAGGAAGGGATTCTCCGGGATTAAGGTGAAAAGAGGTCAGATGAAGCCATCGAGGGCCACTGTTCAGATCTAAGCACTGTGACTTAAGAAGTGCTGTAGCCGCCATGCCCGAGACCACCAACGGGTCTTTTTAATCCAACAAAACCACAGGTGCTCCTCACTGTTCGCACTCCACCATCCAAACTCGGGAACGGAACGGATTCGGATATTAACAGGTACCTGTCCTGGACCATGTGCTCCAGGAGGGGGAGTAAACCAAACAAGAGGAAGACACGAGACCCAGAAAACAGGAACTCCAACCAGAAAGAAGGC